TCCACCTCCTGCCTCTCTCTCTGTCTCTTTCTTTCTCTTCTCCCCCTCCTGCCTCTCACTCTCCCTTTCTCTTCTCCTCCTCCTCCTCCTCCTCCTGCCTCTCTCTCCCCTCCATCTCTCCCCGCCCCCCTTCTCCTTCTCCTTCTCTCACACCCTGCTGCTTGGCTGAGTGCTGCCTGCTCAGCCGGGCTGCTGCGCGGCAATCTCTCTGCGGTGGGGCGGTTGATACTAACCTATAACCAGCCATTGAGCCGTTGATCACTATACATTGATCTCAACAAACTATTCGAATATCTATCCCTCTTACAATCCATGTAACCAATGCGTACCTCCGTACGTTGCTGGCAAAAATGCTATGGGAGACCACATAAAATGTCCTGCTAACATCCATGTATATTATGTCCATGGCCATCTCCATGGCCACAGAGCTAACCTATAACCAGCCATTGAGCCGTTGATCACTATACATTGATCTCAACAAACTATTCGAATATCTATCCCTCTTACAATCCATGTAACCAATGCGTACCTCCGTACGTTGCTGGCAAAAATGCTATGGGAGACCACATAAAATGTCCTGCTAACATCCATGTATATTATGTCCATGGCCATCTCCATGGCCACAGAGCCAGCTACCTTGTCATAGAAAGCAATCAGGTTGGTCAGGCATGTTGACAGTTCCTGATCACTTTTCTCTCTTGCAAGTGCTTCAACATGGATTCCTTGAGGCTCTCCTTCTTGATTTTTCTGGGGACTGAGGTGAGGATGCCTGGACTGTAATTCCCAGAATTGTCCTTCTTCCCTTTCTTAAAGATGGGCACTACATTTGTCTTTTTCCAATCGTCCAAGCATCCTCCGGCCACATGAGTTTTCAAAGATAAAGGCTAATGGCTCTGCAATGACCAATTTTCCAACACCTTCAGAACCCTCGGATGCGTTAAATCGAGACCATGCCTTTGTGTATGTCCAGCTCTTCTAAATTATTCTTAACCTGTTTTTTCTATGCCGAGGGCTGTGCATCTCCTCCATACTGTGTTGCCTAGTGCAGTAGTCTGGGACCGGACCTTGTTTGTGAAGACAGAGGCACAGAAAACACTGAGTACTTCAGCTTTCCCCACA